GACTCGTGCTTTCAGTTTTGATTAACCTATCAGTTCATACCTAACTTAAGTTCTTGTTGTCGAATATCAAAGATTTTTTCATGAGTGAATTCGCTTATGAATTAATAAGGAACATCAATAAATGATAACAAAAATTTATAATGAAAACTGAAAATGATTACAAGGTATTCGCACCATTTGAGTTTGTCATTGCACCCTCAATGTGTGCATCCTGGCTGTGACATTGACACAAGCTGATTCAATTACTTCAGAACACAGTTGACAAGACGAATTATTCTTCTCTGCCCTGTTAATACAATACAGTCTGTGATAATTTCATTTAAAAATTACCACTATATGGTATTTGTCACTAAACTCACAATCACGCAGCTTAGATCTAAATAATAATCTTTTGACGCATATCTATATCCCAACAGAAATCTAGAATATTCCATGCTATACTGGCTATTCTGATGTGATAATACTCAATTAAAACAACAAGAAAAGTTCAAAAAGGATGCAATAATATAGCATTCACTAATTCTTAACAATTGAAAGTACATGCTACACAATGTATGATTCGTAAACAATCTTCCATAAATTCTTGGTTCTAAAAATAACTACATATATTTGACACCCGTGCTATATAAACTATACAAATCATAATGCTCACATTAAACTTAAACTGAAACAGTCTTGAACATTTAACACCTACAGGTGGGTTTGAGCACAAGCAAGCTTCATCATGGTTTTTTTTTTTCATTATTATGTTCAATAAATCAAATAATATTTTAATGAAATCAGATTCGTTTATTGTTTACTGAATATGGTATACAACTACAAATATTGTTGAATATTGGTATGTTTTTCCGACTGAAACAATGTTCATAACTAAATTGTTTAAATAGCTGCTTAATTATTTGTAATTATAATCATGGTATGTTTTAAATAAAAACTTCATTACTTTAATTGTGGGAATAAAACAAGTTTTCATTCTTTAATTATAAATTATTTTGTTTACAAACGATCCAGTGTGGGATTACTGCTTATTACAAAAATAAACAATGAGGGATAGCTTGATGGTATTTAGTGGACAATAGGGATTCATCCACCAAAAAAAAAGTTGTCCATAACACTTCT